TTATTTATCGACCTTGAAACAAAGTCCTAATACATATTTGTATTGAACAGTTTTCAATTGAATGTCTTATTATTGTTTAAATTTAAGAATAGAACTATAGTTTAACTTACTTTTTATCTCTTTCTAGTTTTAAAAGTTAGAAATAGATAAAGAGTAAGTTAAACCGAAATTAAAGTTGATTCATTGAGAAATGAATGTAAATCTTGAAATTATCAATTATATTGCTAATTCTTCCAAGATGCTTATCATTAAGCGAGTAGCAAAATGTAGGCAGAAACGAGCGCTCAATTTTAATATGCTAATAAAATTTTGCTAATAGATGCATCGTTTCAACAAAATTGTAAAATTCAACAAAAATTTAACAAAAAATGTAAAAATGCAATAACATAGATACATATACACTGAAAAAATATACTAAATTTTAATAAATATATGTTTGAATAGTATTAACTAAATATTTATTTATTTGATACAAAACCATTAATTTAAATTAACAATTATTTTTTAGTAGACATTTATTTATTGTAAAAGTTTAATTAATGCTAATGAAAAAAATATGTATTAAGATTTAATAAATTTTTCTCTGTGCACGCGTATAGGAATATAAAACAGCATATAAAAATACAATATTACTCTAATTATGACTTGCTCGAATTTACTTCCATCAAACGCGGACGTAAATCCGAGTGAGTGACACAAATCTACTCATCACATTCCCTTATTACCGACTACAGAGAATACATCCGCGATTTCTTAATTAAACCTTCGCACTTCACAATGTCTCCACTTCGTAGAGCCTCTCTTCGAGCCGAGTGTCTTCTACTTGAAAAGAGAATACGTTCGTATCTACATACGTAATATGTAGATACAAGCATATTCTCTTACATAAATTACATACGTTACGATCTCGTTATACTGGAGCATATTTTAACAGCAAAATAATATGAATATTTTATGTAATACCTTATGTAAACATCTAATAATTTACAGCTTATTGCATCATCAGAACATTAAATTTCTCGCTCAATAAATACCGTGCGATATTGAGTGCAGGATTAATTTTTTGTAAAACGTATAATTAACGATTGACGGTTAGTGTATATTGTACACTTATTTAGTTGACGGAATTATTAAATAGTCGCGTACAAAGCGACTAGAATTACTCACAGCAGTGAGCAAACAGATTTTCGCGCCGTATATCGATCAGCTGCATTTGACAGGAATTTCGGGAACACGTCAGTATCGACAACATTGCGGTTTAATTTAGTTAATTTTATTGCGCGCTAATAATGCCAGAGAAATTGTGACTGTATTTATGTAGATTCAATCGCGTAGCAAAAACTACCATCGATGACCTGATTTCGTCATCTGTTATGATTCCTTAGCGTTTATATATAGCAAGTTGAATAATACTAAATATATTATGTTACAGATTATCGAATTCAACGACGTAAATGACACGGCACTGATTGACACTGCCGACGTCACTAATACGAACGTTTTGCATTCCGAGTATTTCAACTGGCGGCTCGTGTCCCTATTGCAAAATAGCGAATTCGTCTATCTGGATATGGAGGGTAACTCTTATCACGATACAGCTAAGAATATCAGCAGATACGGGAGTATAAAGCTTTCGGTAAAGTATTTTGCAGCATTGAAGAAAAAGTATCGGTAGTACATAGAGACGCATATGAAAATAATTTCAACGGCTCAGTTAAGTGAGAACCAACTTCATTTAGAGCCTATACTGAACATACAAGGTGTCTCAGATTTCAATTAATAGCAGATTAATGAGAGGAAAATCCTAATTCCAAAATGTCGAGGCTACAATAGTTTTTAAATGAAAAGGATTTAAAGTAGCTAGTGAAATATCCAAAATTCGTACGCTCAAACATGACATAATAGTGAGCATCAGTTCTATTCTCTTCTATTCTTCTGGACACTTTTACTACTGTGTAATATGCTGTGCCTGAACGCGCAAATTTTGGATAATTTAATTGGCTAATTTTAAATCTTTCTCATTTAAAAACTATTGTAGCTTTTGGTATTAAGATTTTCATCTCGAAATGATCTCAGAAATCTGCTATTGAAGGGTGTTCGTGAAGTTTGAGACACCCTATGCATACGTGGGTTTTTTAGTCCTCTGTGATATACGTGGTACACCTTTCTCTAAAATCTCTCTCGTTCGCTTGTCAGCTCCGAGGATTCTGCACTGTTGACCATTCAGACATGGTGCCACATATGTTACACACGGAGAATTCTACGCAAGTGGACATCATCCTCGACCACATCCAGACTAACCAGACTTTTGCCCATAGCAGATTTGCTATTGAATTGCTCGCGGTCGGCGGTGGCGATCCCGAGATACTGATGTTCGTTGATCCGAAAAAGAGTCTGGACGATGAGCATACTCCGGGTATATTCGAGGTAACAATCTATTATTCTTGTCTATCTCATCGCTTTTGATTGAAAATATTATCTTAACCTATCTTCTAATGCTTTTCTTCAGGTTGTTGAAGTTAGAACGCCACCCTACAGAGAACAGGACGGCGCGCTGAATGCTGGATCGTATTTACAATGGCGGCCGGTGTCATACATTAGCGCGTCGCGCGATGTAACCAGTTCCACGGAGACAGTCCAGTATCCACCGAAACAAGTGTTCAATTATACAAGTATTAAAAATTCAATGCTCTACTGTTATTATGGAGAAACTGCGGATCTTCTATTACAAAAGATAATGGTTTCCTTGGGCTCAAAAGGAGATGGTTTTTACAAGAAGACGAATTACTTGACGTGGTGAGTCGTCAGTTACAAGACTGTTATTAAATCTCGTATTTTATTTAAAAAATTTAATAACGAGTTGTAATTCTCTATAATCTCTTGAATTAATAAAATGTTGCATTTTAAATTTTGCAGGACTTTCATGATTGGATACGGCACACCACCCGAGGAGAGATTCTCTTCTCTAGTCATTATGATTATTTCGATTGGCCTCGGCCTCCCTTTGCTCATTATGGTCATCACTGGCCTGTATCTCTGTATTCGCAGAATGCCGAAACGACATGGCAACGCTTATTTAAATCGATGAACTCGCCGCTCGTGTGCCATGTGGTTTATTCGTATGTTGCGTGTACGTTTAGGTACATCGCTACTACACAACCTATTGTTCTTCACAAAGAGATATTCCTATATTTATACAACACATATATTTTTACACGAACTAGTAGCTCGGATCTGATATCAGTGTGATAAGTGTGAGTGATAATTCGTTCTCTTATAATGTATTAGCGCTTAGCGAAATGTTAAAATACTCCTCTAGTTCTCTGTTTTAATATTTTAAGAGGATATATTATTTGTTGATACTTGATAAAAAAAGAGAATAGGAGCATCACATTTATTTCTAAATATGCTATGAGAGAATGATATGTTAATTTGTGCAACGAATGAATGAACTTTTCTAGGTAATTTGTAATTGAACGCTGATTGTATGCACGAGATTTACGAAATATACATATCATACAATAAGTTGTACTACATTTTGTAATAATTTTCTTTATGATATTCGTACCCTATGTTTGATATTAAAATATTAAACATACTATGATGATATATCTCACTGTACTTTCTGTGTATTCACATATTTTTATATTTTTTGCAAATATACGAAAACTGTATGCATTTATTTTAATTCATGTCTTAACTTCTAATTTATCAACTTTCCATTAATCTTTTATTCTTATACATGTCTCAATATGCTCCGTATTTAAGCGTACATTTTATTTGCAAAATTGAGAAGTCTTAAGGAAGAAGAGATTTACGCTGTACTTGGAGTGATGCAAATACTTAAGTGGAAACTAATCGTATACAAATGAGAATCTGAGCATCGGGTTAACAAAGACGTGTGGTGCAACGTATTCGCAACGCGGTGATAAACCTCGCGGACGAGCTTATTGAAGCTCGCGGGTATGGTCGTAGAGGGTGCGGGTGAATGTTTTCAGGCGGTGGTAGTAAAAGTGGCGCGGTATGGTACCGCGTTTCCCTTTGTCGCGGAGCGGCAAAGGGTGGCGTGGGGCCACGTCCACGACACCGAGGTGGAGGGGTACGTTTTCATTGATCCACCCTGTGCTACGGAAGCGCACCACGCAAGCACTCACGAGCCCTGAACGGAGCATTGATCTCGCCCCGTGCCGTCTCGGTGGTATCGTCGCTACGCCACGGCGTAGGCTCGCATTCTCGAAAGGAAAGGAAAAAGAAAAAAAAATTGCTACCCCGGTGACGATTTCGTTCGCGGCGGTGGTGACCAGTGATGGTCGTAACGTCACCTCGGTTCCCGCCAGCCAGTCCGAATCGTTCTCGAGGGATCGTCGCGACGCTAGTCTCGGCGCGAAGCGGATTCAGAATCGCGACGCGGCTTTACAAAGCGCAGGGTGGTCGACGAAGTGGCGGGGGTTAGTTCGCGTAGCGGATCGCGAATGAGGTGTAGCGCGCGTGGAGCGGGGTGATTAGTTTTCGCGGAGTCCGCTGCGCGAAAGACTGGCGCGTGGCGATGCAGTAACGGTCCGCGTCGGCTCGACTGATCGTGACAGTCGGTACCGAGGAGAGTCGCTTTCGCGGCACGAAGTACGCATAGCGTAGAGGATACGAAGGGTTACCGAGGGTACGAAGTACCAGCGAGAGAGTTCAAGGGTGGACTCGTCGAGAGCGGAGACCTCGGGCTTGGCGTAACCAGCGAGCGACCCTTCGTGCCGGCCGCGTTGCTCCGAGGGTGAGACGTGAAGACGTCGAACGTCGGGCTACGCCAAAGGGGTGCAGAACAGCGCCAACGGCGACGGTTCGAGGGAGAGGGCGAAGGAGGGTCGAAAGAGAGAGACGGAGAAAAATAGAAGGGGAGGAAAGAGAGTGGGCGAGAGTGAACAGTGGTAGGTGGTGGTGGAGGTAGAGCGAAGGAGGACATAGCTTCGAGGGAGAAGGAACGCGGCCGCTGAGAGAGGGTTGAAGCGAGAGGGATAAAGAGAACGATCGTTCCCGTGTGCGCGCGCGGGCGTTCGTCCGCGTCTAATTTCGCGTGTGTTAGCGCGCGTGTGCCTGTGGTGCCGCGTGTCCGTGAGCGTATGCACGCGCGTGCGCGCGCGCGCACGCGTGGAGTGTGTGGGTGCGTGTGTGTACGTGCACGAGCGTGCGGCGCGGCTGTGCGGCAGTGAGAGTTCCGAGGAAGGAACAAAGGGAGTGGAAAAGAAAGATCCGTCGATCGGCTTAGAAAGCAGCTAAGGGTGGCGCAGCGCGGGAGAACGGCGCCGAGAGAAGTGATAGCGGACGCTTACGTGAACGGATTCTGGGGTGTTAAGGAGAACAGCCCCGCGTCAACACGGGCGACGCGGCGCGCGGCGGCCGGACACGGACACGAACGCGTCGACGGGCCTGTCCCCCGAGGAAGGGACCGTCGCGCGCAACGCGATCAATTTTCGTTGCGACGCGCGGGCGGCTTAGACCGTAGAACGGACGCGAGACGAAATGACGAGGCAACCGAGGTACCGATAACCGGCCGGATAATGTTGTCGCAGAGCAAGTTTTACGCTCTCTTCATCCACTACACGTTCGTGTAGCGCGAAACGGGGCGGGTCCTTGCCGCTGCGGTGAAGAAGAATAGAGGAGAAGGAGGAGGAGAAGGAGAAGGAGAAGGAAGAAGCAGGAAGCAGAAGAAGAAGAACACGAGGGGAAGGAAAAGGTGCTGTCAGTGGGGGAGAATAGAAACGAAAGCGAAGCGAGAGAAACGGAGAAGGGAAAATCATTCGAAACTAGAGATAGCACCTCGTACCAGCCGTGGTGGTCGCCATCGTCGCTCGAGGGCTGAAGGAAAAGAAGCAAGAAAAAGGAAAAAGAAAGACGGAATTCGTGGCGTAACCGAAGGAACGGAGAGGGGCCGTACACGCGTGTATACACGGCGGCACGCGCATTATATGCACGTAGGTGGAGGGACATCGTGCGAGGCGGAATTTTAGCGCTACACGTCTCGTCGGTCGTTCTTCTTCTGCATCGTCGGTGTGAAAGTGTAATCTTAGTGTGTCGTCTCACGGTGCTCGGTTGTGCTACCCTTACATCTCGAGCAAGGCCCGCGGAGGTATCCCAGAACCCGCCCCCGCCCCCGCGCCCTCCCTCTCTCTCCGCTCTCTCGACGTCGCAGTGCCTCTCTTCTCTCCATATCGCTACGTTGCGCTTCTCTTTTACGTTCGCAGCGGTGACTATCTACGCTGGAGAGTGTTCGACCTCCTCAACCGTAAGTGTCAACTCGAGTGTACGTCATGTGTGCCTCCACCTAGGCAACAACAAGAGCGTTCCAAAGTCGCCTTGTTCTTTTCTTAAATCTTTCTGCATCTTTCGAACATATCTCTCTCTCTCTCTCTCTCTCTCTCGTTCGACTCTCCAAGCTGGAGATAGATTGTGTATCTTCAAACCAGATGAAAGTTATCAAACCAGAGAAAAGTGAGCGAATTCACTAGGTGTTGATCAATGAAATTATAAATATTCTAGTGAATTTGTTCACTTTTGTCATTTTTATCTCATTCCAAAATGCACAATTGAAGTCCTGTTTAAACAGTTCGCTTCCACGTAATTCATTCCACGAATTGTCAAAGTGGCTTGTGCAAACTTGGCTGTCGCGTTCCGTTTGTCAAAGTTTGTCAAGTTTCGAATGTTAAACGTAATTGAGAGACTATTGCATTTTTCTCTAAACAATTAAAGAAATTGCAGAATTGTTGCAAATACTGTGAGAAAGTCTGACCTATTCTGTTATTTCACGAATATTTTGCCATTTGGTACAAGATACTCTAACTGTTTTTTTAATTCTACTGGTTAAAACGTAACTCATTTTGTTACTAACATTTTATTTAAAAACGTTTTCCTCTAAAATTTTATAATTTCATCTATTAATGGAAGATCTTCTTTCTATGAAAATTTTCTTATTTCTTAGAATATTTTTAATCATATTGGCTGAAATAAACAACTGATAGGGTTAAATCACATCGCGCGATTGTTCGTCTTGAGACGAATGATGTGAAGAAATCTGTATATATCAAATTACGTTGAATTACGTGCACTGAGAGAAATGATTTTGTTATAGGAACAAATCAAGGGAAAACAAATGTGATATTTGTTAAGAAAAAGCGATCGATTAGTTACTATTGCAAATTAATTATTTCTCATTCGTCAATGTAACATATAATCAATAGTATCGCTAGCAAATAAAAGACTCATATATATACATAGAAGTCGTAGACGGTCACAGGGTCTCAAATCGTAAGCAATTGACCAATTCTAGTCAAGTATTCTCCCTATGTTTGACTGTGATTGGTCAGTTTCCTACGACTTAAGACCCTACGATCATCTATGATTTCTATGATAAACGATCCTAAAGTTTATCTAAAAGATAGGTTAGGTTTTATATAGTTTGCTTCTATTACTAATAATTAGTTGGTATAGCAGACTAGTAGCAATCACAACAAATCAATTTTGTTGTTACATATTTATCGATCACTTGTTAAAGGTACTGGTGGCGCGCGCTTGTTAAATTAACAAAATCCTTTCTCTCAGTGTGGTTGCGTACAAACTTCGACAAACTTCCGACGAACGATTTTCAGAATTCTACGAAGAAATTGTAATTTTTATAAAAATTTAATATGACGTTTCCATTGTGCTCAATTATTGTGATGATTCTTTTGTTCTGTATCATAAGTAATGACTTGTTATTTATATGAGTTCCGATAATCTTCAAAATCTAAGATACTCAAATATATGTATAGTGTCCGCGGTTATGATGTTGCATACGATAAACTGTTTGACATTAGGACTACGGGCTTAGCTACCGTAAATATAACACACGTAAGCAAGCCATAGAAGCATACGGGGGCGTACATTATAATGATACATATTAATAAGATAATGGCTGGCACGTAACGTGGGAGTAATGATATATCCATAAAAGCACAACTGATACATTTAAAATAGTGCAAATCCACGAGTTTGGCATTCGGTGTCAGTAAGAATATAGCAAACTCTGTTAGAGTGGTTTCTGACTGGAGAACAGAAGTGATCGAAAATAGAATTTCCAGACACATTATTAAATCAGAGTTGCTGACGTGTTTGAATTAAATAACCAGATTAGCGATATATTTTTTTGGTTTAGCGGTACTTATGTATCAACGAGACATTTGGCCTTAGTACTTAAACCTCTAAGAAAATGTTGAGAAGTAGTAAATTTACATTTGAATGAAAGAAACTGTTATTTAATAGCTATTATTATTATTTCTACAAAAAAATGGTAATTTACTTTTAAACTCTATAAGATTTACTCTCGTTAGAGTTTATATTTCTATTTGTATCAGTTCTAAAAAAATATGACATGACACTTGCATTGCAATTTTTTTTTATTTTAAAGATTTACTTTCTTTAAACGTGATGGTAAAAATATGTTAGATATTGGAGTTATACAACGTTATAGCGAAAAGTTTTCCTGGGTCTGACTATAAGAGAGTCGCCACGTTGCGCGATGCAGTGATGATCGAAGTGAAACGTGTCAACCGTGAGTAGACGCTACGTCTGACCAGTCGTTGATTCGATCACTTCCACTGGCGCGTGCGATGCGGCGGCGCTCGCGACGTTCCGTGTAGCTCGACGGTCCGCGTCGGCTGCGTCGACTCGCGGTGTACGTCGCCGTTTACATCGGTAACGAGGTCTCGATTACGAGGCGCGATAGGACTGGCAATCGAATTGCCAAGGTGTATGCCACAGGGCCCCACGTATATTGCCGCGCATACGTTTAGCGTGACGCGCGGCCCTGCCGTGGCTGCCATTCCCGATATATCGATCGACGTTGCCGCGGTCAGGGATCGGCCGCGCGCGCGACGAGCTCGTGGGTGACGGTGATCGGTACGAGGACTATGGCCAGTATTCGTAGGCTGGTATTCATCATAGGCTAGTATTCATAGTTGATTCTTATATTTAAGATTGTCGTAAGCACAGTCTTAAGATGTTATGAACCAATCGGAGAGCTGTATTCAGTATTAGTATCTTAAAACATTACTTACAATAATCTTAAAATAAGAATAAATTATGAATACCGCCCATAGTCCGTTTTTATGTCTCAAATATCACACTGGTGCAAATTCACATCAGCTAAATCATCTGCAATTACCAGATGATGTCCTCTTTAAAATTTTTGGAGTGGAATCTAATTCTAAAAAATGACAAAAAGTAACAATTGAACCAGTATTGAAAAAGAGTGACTAAATTGTCAATTTTTAAGAGTGATTTATTCTTTAAGATGACCCTACAACGATTGGTAATACTGATCAGTGATATTGAATCAGTAATACCGACAGTGTTAATATTTTCAGTATTTTTACAACCTTACACGATCAGTATTATTGACAATATATTTCATTTTAGTTTTACATACATTATCTATTATATTACATTGTGACATACTATGACATGAATCCTAATAAAGCGATACTGATACTCGAGAATCAAAATCCAGATCACCATCAGTTTTATTCTACGTCAATCCAATCAATATTAACCACACATGATCAGTAATGTTATCAGTACTTATTGATACTGATAGTATTATTGACCATAAGGGCCACTTTTAGAATTAGATTCCACTCCAAAGATCTTAGAGTTTTTCAAAAATTTCAATTTTCATCAAAATAAATTTTTTGATGATAAAAATTAAGGTTTCTTAAATGTAAAAATCGACTATGAATACCTGCCTATGTCCTATGCCAGAATATACATATTATGGTCAGTAAAAGTAACAAGTACAAGTGATCCATTCTGTTTATATGCACTTTTTATATATGTTTTATACACGGAAAGAACGGTTTTGCTGAAATATCTAATATCTGAATGTAAATCAATTCATTTTTTTGGTTCAAAGTAAATGGAATTTATATTAACGTATGCACTTACAATTAGTAAATAATAATGTAAATTTAAGTCATGTTTAATACATCTTCTCTCTTAAATTGTTTCACTTCATTATTTTAATTAAATTGATGACATATTGAGTAGGATCAGTGGCAACCTATGGAAATAATTAAAAGTAATTCAAATTAGGTATAATTTGACATTATGAATTTAACAATGTAAGATGCTCAAACTGGTTGCTATAAAATGTCAAAACTTTTCGCAGCATTGTTCAATACAAGCTTAAGTTTTCTATATAATTATTTTAGTGATTCGACAAAATTATTTTCGGATCTGTATTTAACGAAATTTTTATATACTTCAGAAAATTCTTTCTGCGTGCCATCAAAATTGAAATCTATTTTTATATGTATTTTTATAAATAATCGTACGAATCAACGGCCAGAAAATATAAAAATATAAAGATGTAAAAGAATAATCTTAGATTTAAATTTTTCGATGAAGCATGGAAAGAATTTGTTGAAATATTAAAAAATTTATCTATATACTATAGATTAGAAAATAGTTTTGACTATTACATCAATTATGTAAAAAATTTAAGCATGATAAGCAATGCTGCGAAAAGTTGTGATATTCTCTTGCATAATTATTTTAATAGTCCAATAAAATTATTTCCTTTTATATTTAGTTAAATTTTTAGCTAAGCTTTTAGCAAAATCGTTCTTTTCATGTATTAATATTCATACGCAAATTTGTTAAATGCCACGTGTAATGCTACTTAACGATACCTTGAAAAATTTTAATTAAACTGGAAATTATAAGACTCACGCAAAAAATATTATAAAATTGTGCTATTTATACTCTTCAAAATTCACAACTTTAAATCGAGATGCCCTATTCTTATAAGATCTAACTTCGCCAAATCCTTTGGGGAAATGATAAAGGACTTTGTCCTCGACACAATCAAACCCACGTGACCTTCGTAAAATTTTAAAAGTTGAAACGGTACACAGTGTTATTAGACATCAAGCCTCGCTTTGATTGAATATGATCAAAGCTTCTTAATTAAAGGTTTTGGTGCCCAATAATATTTTTGCTTCACTTAATTGTGTATCGAAAACTAATTACCGACGCGCGGACCATATTACTTATGATAAACGCTACAAGGACAACAAAGTCAGTTAACGTCAATTCGATTGGCACAATCGATCGCGTCGCGATTACGGCAATGATTGTGACATGTCTGCTAGCTGGTGACCTTCCTCCGCGCGAAAATTGTCGGTCAATACGAGCTGCACGATCCGCTTAAGAGCCGCGCGATGGTATCGATCACGGTGCCGTGCACGACGA